CTTTTATCCATTCCTGAGTTGATGAGAATTTGGGTTGTTCCTGAGATTTAACTATGACAAATTGTGCCGCTATAAACATGGGGGTGCACATATATCACTGTGGTATGATGTTTCAATCTTTTGAAAAAATACCTAGAAGGGGAATAGCTGGGTTGAATGGGACCTCTAATCCTAGTTTTTTTGAGAAATCCCCACACTGATTTCCATAGTGTCTGTACCAGTCTACACCATGCACTGAACAAAGGTCAAAATGAATCAAAGCTCTAAATATTAAAGTAGAAACACTAAATCTACTGGAGGAGAAGGTAGGTAGAAATTGTGAAGATATGGGAGTAGGAAGAGAGTTCATGAACAAAAACTAAACTGCACAGGAAATACTTCAAAGATTCAACAGCTGGGATCTTATCTTTTTGAGGTTTCTGTACATCAAAAGAAATCACCAACAGAGTAAAAACAAAACCCAGGAATCAGGAAAAATTTAGCCAATTGTACCTTAGATGGAGGAGTTCTATCTTGAATATATAAAGAATTAAAAGAATTAGGCCCCAAAATTCAAAGACCTAATCCAAAAATGGGCTTCTGAGATGAATATGCCTTTCTCAGATGAAGAAATACAAATGGCAAATAAATATGTGAAAAAATGTTCAACATCATTGGTCATTCAAGAAATGCAAATTAAAATATGCTACTGAGAATGCTGAGTTTTTATCCCGTGCCAGACTCTGCACCATTTACTACATCTATTAGCTACTTAAATGCTCACCACAAAATTGCGAGGAAAGTGCTCATGTTGTTATCTTCATGTTTAGAGATGCAAGAACTGAGATATCAAGAAAACAAGCAATTTGCCAAATGTCTTCTAGTTTCAACTTGTAAAGCCAAAATTTGAGCACAAACAAGCCTGAAAGGAAGTGCAATGAAAACTATTTGATTTATTTTGTTGACAGAATGATATATTTGTTTTTGTTTTGTTTTTATTAGTGGTTAGATAAATGCAATAATAATACTTTTGAAAAAATACATATTTGCAGTTTGTGATATGTTAACAAATCATATCCTGAAATTATTAGGCAGAGGAGTTTTAAAAAGCAAACATTTTTTAGAGATATTAAATTGAGCAATTTGTTTAACCATTCTTAATTTTTTTTTAAAGAGCTTACATTATTTATTTGTGATTTTAGTGTTACTTGGGAAAAGCAGGGAAAATTAAATCAAATGTATTTTTATATCCATTCTTCCCCTCTGCCATCCATTAGAGTTGTGTGGCTCGAACCAACCTCTTGAAATATTATGGCTTGCCCCAAGTATCCTTCAAAGTCTCTAGGCTGCTTTCTCAGTATAGATAGGCCCAGAAGGGTTAAATGTCATTTCATAGCCTTTAGTTTGGCATTCAGGGCCTTGTATAATTTTGTGCTAACATATCTTTATAAATTTTCTTCATTTTGTAAAAATCATCTCTAAACACGTTTGTATTTATTTTATGTTGAAGAAAATCTTAGGTTTCCCTTATAGACAACTACTATTACTATTTTGGAAATGTTACCTGACAGCAACGTCATGGATTCCATTTCTTCCAGGAAGTTATTTCTAATTACTCTTGGCCCAGGGAAATTTCTCTGTATTAAGTAATCTTATAGTTTCTTTGTTATTGCCACTTATTTAGTGCTTAAGCATACATTTCTTAACATTCTGTACTTCTGTTTTACTGCTTGGGTCTGTGTTCTTTGCTTTCTCAACTAATTTGGTTTTTTAAAATTAATTTTATTGAGAAAGAAATAGCAATGAAACAGTTTAAAAACTGATTAGTGGGACAGTTTCAATAATTAATACATTGCATATTGTTGTCTTTGTAGTGGTTTTCATAGTACAAGTTGCAGACATAATATCCTGTCCAAACACTATTAATACAAATCTTTCTTCTTATTGAATTAAGAGAAAATAGCTGTATATCTATCCTAACTATTTTGTATATGCAAATACAAAATGGTCCTTCATTTGTATCCCCTTTTTTGCTCAGTTTTGTCAGAAGAGTATTCCATTGCCATTTAAATATTGTAGGTGCGTGAATTCAGCAAAATAATCCAATATAGTCCAGTAGTCCATAATAGTAGTGGGTTATTTGTAGGACTGGAAATGTCAGAAGTTGTTGACTTGAGTCTCAATAGAGGTGTAGGTGATATAGAAAGATGAGTTAGAAATATTTTAGGCAGTCAGATAGGGATGGGCCCTCAGAAGGACCCACTGTGGAAGACAAGATACCTCACAATTACGAGAGAGACAGACATTCCCTTTGTGTGACAGACCTCAAGACAAAAGATAAAACAAGGACTGGGGGAATAACTCAGCAGCATAAGTGCCTGCCTGGCAAATGCAAGGTCCCTAGTTCATCCCCATACCAAAAAAGAAAAAAGAGAGAAAGATCTAACAAATACACACCTTCCTAAAGATAAGCATCTGGGACTGATATTCTAAATAGATCTCTATCACCTTGAGAAAACCTTGAAGAGTCACTAATCCACCCTCTACAGGCAAAGAAACCCTGTTCTGTATTCATGCCCACTTGCTACACAACTCCCTTCCTCATTTGGTCCTGGATTTAATCAGTTTTACCTGATTAATTGTACTTGTAATCTTATTGGGTGACCATAGTTTTGTCCCACCTCATGCCCACCCAGCAAGTTCCCATGTTTTCCACCTTGGACCCACCTCACCTCATGGTTAGAGTTCCCTAAAAATGGCAGATTCCTCAGAAATCCACTTGAGTCACTTCTGTCCATCTCTCCTACAGAAGCTTTCTTTCCCCTGATAAATATATTCTTCTTAACCTCCATTGCTCCTAAAATTCATTCTTTAGTTTTAGAGAACACAAACTCATCTCAAGCATCTTTCAGATTGGACTTTTCTTTTCCCTATGTCATAAGTATTGGTCAGATATCATTGAACATTTTTTGTCAGATGCTGTGGTACACTTGAGTGGGCTGAGGCAAGAGGATTGCTATAAGCTCCAGCCCAACCTGTGTTACATAATGAGTTGGAGGCAAGCCTGAATTACCTAGTAAGACTCTATCTCAAAACAAAATAAAACAAAAAAAAATAAATAAATAAAAAACAAACAGCAATTTTAGGAAACTGTAGTTGTAGATGCTCTAAAGAAGATAAATATTTTCTATGTTGCCTCATAATAACCAGAGGATTCCAAAGGATTGTTACTTCCAACAGTGAGTCCTCAAGCCCAACAATTAGTGCTATTTCAATTGAAGTACATAAATGGTTAGAGAAATACAATACTTTGAATGGATTCTTGTGTATAGTACAATGTACAAAGCTTTTCTTCAAGCTTACAGAGAGATATTGTCTGTATACTTGTGAAAGCCAGTCCTATACTGTAACTAATTGTATTTCACTGTTTATCAACATAGATATAATCATTTAATTAGCATCTTATTATCAATGAGTGTTCTATGTATGTTAGTCTCTTAAGATGTTCGTGTTCTAAATAATGTAAATAGCATAGCAAAATATGTATCAGGTTGAAATGATAGAAATAAAGATGAAATCATCAAATGAATAAATAAATGCATTCAGCCATAAAGCCAGTAATGAAATCTGAACAAAATTAAGTCATGAAAAAAGGAAGTGGTACACCATTAAATGTGATCTGAAAAGAGATAGAGGTTTGATGGAGTGTTAATCAATCATTCTATCTCAAGCAGTCCTCCAGCAATGAATTCAGGTATTTTTGCCCTAAGGTCATTGCTGTAATTTCATAAAAGAAAGAGGGTAAACAGCATTTCTGTTACATTAAGAAAAAAAAAAATGTTTTCACTCCCTTGGCACCAACCGATCCACAAAGATGTTACTTCTCAAAAATCTCAGGACGACATCATCAAATGAGTTTTCTTTTGCTCCCTAGACTAGAGAACTGAGCCCCTGTGTTTCTCTTGTTGCCTTTATCTCTGTTATTGCATTCCTTCTACCACACAGGTATGTGAAACAGAAGGCATAAAATGTGGAATATCCCACTTTCCGTGCTTCTCATGCTTGGCCAATCCATGACAAAAGTAATGAAGACAAGACCAGTACAAATAAAACTAGGAAGCTCGTTTTAGTCATTTGAGAGATCTGTGCTTGGTACATGTTTTGTTTCTTTCTTTTCTTTTTTCTTAAAGCAACCTTTTGCACTACTGCCCTAGTAAATCCTGGATGGCTGGCATTTCAGTTTCTTACATAACAGTGTGGGGCCAACTATGGAATTATAGTATTAGAATTTAGCAGGCTTAACACACAACATAGCAGTCAGCAGGAGTCCATGAGTTGTGGATGAAACTTGTTTGGTGTATACATCCTGGATGCAGAAGGGGAAGGAGTAACACTGTATCAGGAAGATTAGCAATTAAAGGTTATATGAAACATTTCAGCAAGTCCTGGATTAGCACTAAACCTCTGTGCTAACAGCTTGATGTAATACAGTAATTTTCTGCCTGTATCATCCAGCCCTTGCAAGCTGTACACTTCACAGGTAAGCCCAAACACTCTTCAGTCCACATCTAGATCCTCTCATGAATCTTTGCCTTCATAGACTGATTTCTTTGGGATATACCAGAAACTGGCACAGGGATAATTGAGGGGAAAATTCTAAGATATGAAGGGTTGATTTAATCCTCTTTTATAGCTTTCCTGTCAAAGGATCATTTTTGGCTTTAAATGTTTTCTAAATAATATACTAATTTGAAGAAAAATTACTTTGAAAAGACGTATGCTTTTTTTAGTTATCCAAAGAGTATAGAGTACAGAAAGGAAAAAGAGGCTATCAGAACCACAGTTTTGAAGTTCATTGGCACTAAGAATTATGTTCCTGAATTCCTGGAAATAAGAGTTAGGAATGACTGTCCATAATTTAAAAGTATTTGGATAGAATCCAGAAACCTGTTGGATATTAAATCTGCAGGGCATCAACCATCTGGATTTTTAGAAGGTTTGATATTTTTATATTTTTTTCTGATATTTTGAGGTTTCTGAGCAGAGCCACTGAGTCAAGTTTCCAGGCAGTACAGGATAAATGGGTAAGTACAGTATGATTGTGTCTATAAAGCCTTTTAATGTAGAGGAAAGAGATTAATGATACTAGGGTCTGAGGTAGAGAGGCTATAGACAATTTCATATTTTTTTCTCTTTAGGCACTTTTGGGATCCTTGGAGTCAGAGAGTTCTTTTACTAACTGCCTGAATGTAGTGTTGTATTGAGTAATGAGTGAAGATAGAAGGGCTGGAGATAACTACATAGTTGTTTTATAAGGATTCTTAATTTAACAAAGCCACCAGACATTGAGAGTGGAATTTTTTTCTGAAACAGAGCTATTACTGACTTTGTATTCTATATGGTATTGATTCATGTTAGCAACAAAATGTTAGGATACATTACCATCAGAAATATGTCTAGCTAAGGAAAGATAGAAAAGCACTACAGCTTTTACATTTGAATTTGTTTGCAAAATGATGACAACTTCCAGAACATTCCTAAAGTACTGGTTAAGCACTTGGGACCTTGCTCTAAGATGGACCACAATGTGCTATGTGTTCGGCACAGCTTCAGATAGCTGGATGGGTATAAATCAGGAACTGGTGTTGTCTAGTGAACCCTGGGTGCTATCAGAGACCTATGAAAGAAAACACGACATAGGACACTAGCTACTATATCTCCACTTCTTCAATAGAAAAAGGAGTAGAGATCATTAGTTTAGGGTACAAGGTAGTGTGAAGGAATTGAATTGAAGCAGTTCTAGAAAAATTCATATGTATTTCTATAGAGTGTATTGCTATTACTTTCATGTCTTTGATTCTGCCCTTATCACATAGCATTGAATATTTCCTCTAATAACAGCAGCAACAATAATAGTAAAGGGAGGGAATAGCCTTCAATGCTTCACATAAGAACCCCCACAAAAGCTTTTCTGCATCACAAAAGGGACTCAAATCATGCCAAAGCATTTTACTCGGAAAACATTATACAAAAAAATACAAATCCTATACGTTTTTTCTTATAGTTTTTCTCTGAGGTAGAGAGACTGTGAAGCCAACTTCATATTTTTTGGGGGCCAGCTCTGAGCAGGCTGGACTATCAGCCTAATGATGTAGGAAGCAAGTGTAAGGAGAATGCAGGTCTAGAAGGCATGGAGGTGGCGTTAACAAATGCAAGTGGGACTGTTAGAATTGTGAGGGAAGGTGAAAGCTTGTATTTGTTCTGTACATATTTAGCATCTGCTGTTTGAAGATGCAGTTAGGAATTAAGATTTAAAGAACTCAAAAAGCACCTCCAAAAGATCCAGATGGGAGATTAAATTCCAAAATTTGGCAAAAATACTCTGATCATTAATGTTACCAACTGAGGAAAAATTTAATTCCTTAAGCTGAAAAATGAGCAGAATCTACAGCTCTGGTTTCTCCAACTACACTGAAAGTGGAATATATTGAGCATGGCCTGCTGTCATTGTGTTATGACATCAATTCTCCAGGTAATTAGTCTCATGGAACATCACCAAATGAGCACATTTTCCTCTCTCTGAACCTCTAGAAATAGTTTAATTGCTTCAGGATATGTCTTTTAAACCACAATTCATATAAATAAGTGCAATAGAAAAGTAACTTTTGTGTATTTGGGTTTTAGGAAAATTCTATTGTATTCCTTTATGACTTTAAATTCTTCAACTTGAAGTTATCAAGCTTAGATAGGGGCTGAATTTTCTGGAATTTATTTATGACATGGTAAAAGAAAGTATTACAGTAGAATTTTTTTCTATGCTGGTGTTTGTAGTATAAGGCTTACCTTCCAGACAGAGTTTACAAATTGATTCATGGAGAACCTGTATGATTCTCAGATTACTCCAATAGGTCCAAGATATTAAAATATTCTGACTGGAAAAAGAAACAAAGTTGAGTACAGACTTCTTTGTATAAAGTCATTCTTGTTTCTACCTCCCAAGCCCAAGAAGAGACTCCCATAGGAATATCTCACAGCATTTTGATTGTTTTCCTGTGTCTCTCCTGTGCCTGCAGAAAAAGAAGTGGCTTTGCTGGATCCCTGATTTTCCTGGAGTCTGTCTAGGTAAGGAGTGAGATGCCATTTTTCATGGACCAAAAGAGAAGAAAGAATGGACAGGATTTCCCTGGTTCCTGATAAAATGGCGCTGGTCAGAGAAATAAAAAGATTCCAACTACAATACCTAGAAATAAATTCTGGATCCTTAGAGACTAAAGAGAAGTTATAAATTGATTCCTAGTGGCTATCTGGGTCACAAGACTTTACTAGAGATGCTGAGTAATGGTTATCCAAGAGCCTGCACAAGTGCTTGCAAATCTCCCATTTAGCTTTCAAGGCTACTGCTGCACAAAGTTTGTATTTAATGGTATTGGTAAGGCATTTACAGCCCTCCTCATACTTCCCATCAACTGCTTCTAAGGGTGAGAACAGAGGAGCAAGCTGGGATGGGTTTGAGGGGCTAGATGTTCTCAGAATCCCAAGGCAGAGGAATCAAAAAGGGCACTCTTTTGTATTGCAGTCTTCCAGTGTTCAGGAGGGGCAAATTGCCAAGCAAGAGCTTTTGCCCTGAAATTATTTGTTTTAACCAGACTGTTCATTTTAATTTCTAAGTGAGCAGGACTGTAAGGATGACTATGACCTACGAAGTAGCTGAGAGTTGCATCCCTAGGGCAGCTGCAGTGTACCCACGCTGACTACAGTTCACAAGGATGCAGGGGAGGAAAACAAGGGGGGACTTAGACTGAGTCAGGAGTTGTGCTGGCTACAATATCTATAGCTTTACATCACAGTTGCTCTGGTTTGTTATTTCTCATCCTTTCATGCTCCTGAGTCCCAGCACATGACTAGCTAGCTATAAGCGGATCATCTGGGTCAGTGCCACACAGTGCTACGTCACAGCCTAAACTAAATTAAACAACTAAACTAAACAAACAGAATTAGTGACACTGATTTTGTCATTGTTTAAAAATTAGGGTACTTTGTTTCATCCTCCATACATATGTATTCGTTTTGATTTAAAGGTATATAAAACATTATTTATCTTGATTCCTATTTTTGGTGCTTTCTTAAATTTCGTGCTTAAAATCAATGTCTTTAGTGTCCTAGCCCCAGTCCTGGCCCCTGTTGGAGTAGTTTTTCCCAAGGAAAAAACTTAGTCTCTATATTTTATAGTAACTATTCTTTTTTCTTCTTTCTTCCTACCTTATGATTTTGCTGCAAAACCTTTGTCCTAGGCACTTGTGGAGAACTCCACTTTCCAGTCTACTCACTGAAGTGTTTCTTTGGGTCTTGATCCTACAATAGACCAAAGAATGTGGACAAAGGGGAAGGTTTTTTTTTTTCTATAACCATATGCATATTTTATTTTAATATACTTTTTTTTGCGGTACTGGAGATTGAACTCAAGACCTTGTGCTTGCCAAGTAAGCACTTATTCTACTGAGCTATCTCTCCAGCTCTATTTAAATATACTAAATCAGAACTTAGTCAACTTTTTTTTACAAGGCCAGGTAGGAAGAAAATAAAGCCTTGTAGGCTTAATGGACTTTATTCCAAGTACTGGCCTCCATTGTATGGTTAAAACATTTATAGAAGCGCACAAATGAATTGGCCTGATTGTCCCAATAAAACTTATTTACAAAGTCAATCTAGGCTAGTTTTAGGCTACAAATCTAGTAGTTTAAAATCATCTGTGCTGAGCTTTGTTACTTAGTTCTTGTCCTTTCTTTTTTCTAGAGAGCTTCTCTTTTAAAAGAAATAATGTTGGGGATAATTACTCTAGAAAATTTTATGCTGCTAAGATATTTATCACTCTGAAGATTGATTTTTAAAAATCAGCTTCTTTCTTAAATGTTAACACACTTCAAGTAATAAATAAACTACCTTTTTAAAAATAGAATATTAGCTGCCATCTATTAGCCATATATGTAAATGACATAAATTAGCAACTGGAAATTACTGTTATTCCCATTTTAAAATAGAGATAGGGCTCAGAATGAAGGCAATTTGGGAGAGATACGAGGCAAGTCTGCTAAGTTCTAGGCCCAAGAGAATGTCCTCGTAGTCCCATGCCCCTCCACCAGAATGTTCTCACTGGAAACAGCATGCAAGGCAGCTTACAGTGTACTATTAGACTAACCTGGAAGAAAATAAGTAAGTCATGACTTTAAAAACATTCAGAAATAGAATCCGCAAGAAAGAGGCTCTGACCTGCTAACCTGACTTTACAGGTTGACTGGGGATCTGTGTAGACCCTATGTAGCTCAGAGAACTCCACCAGGGGTTCAGGCACTGCTTCCTGTTGGAGGTGGACCTTTGTTTCCCACCCTCTCGTGAAGGTGAGTGACCCTGAGCACTCACAGTAGTGTGTCTTAGGGGCCTCCTACCTTTTCTGATTAGCTTAATTGGGTGGAGAACAACTTGTGCTAGCAACCTTAAACACTATTGGAAAGACAAAGACAAAGGGAAACCTAAGACCTTTGTATTTGATCTTTGTTTTTGGGAAAACAGCTCACATACTCATGTATATGTGTGTGCATTCACATTGTTATGCATGCCTGTGTGTCTCTGCCTGCAAATGAAATTGCTGTTCTTTGGTAAATTTTCTTGGAAACATAGACTTGCCCTTTTTGGATTAGTTGTTCACGCTTTTTACTTTTGAAAATATAAGATACCTTCACCTTTAAACTCTTAATTTAAAATGGCTCGGTGAATAAGCAAGTTATTAATTAAGAGGATGACACACAAGGATAAGTTTTAGGCTCTGTTAAAATAACAGTGACCAGCTTGGCTTGTTGACCTGCACATTGTGCCTAGCATGAATAGCACAGTGGGGTGTGCCGCATGTGTCCCTGTCCTTGGGGCACACTAGTGCTGGTTATTTTTTCCCCCAATTTTCTTTAAAAATGGCTTCTTTTGTGTCATGTAGAAAAAGGAATAGTTTTCATTTTTTAACCAATTACTATGATATCAAAATGCTATCTATGTGTCTACTAAAATGAATTTGTAAGAGTAATTAGGGTAAAACTTCCAAAGAATAAAACTTTTGGCTGAATAACAGTTCCTAAATTAAAATAGAAAGTTACAACAGTGAATATTAAAGAGGGATGGAAAGGCAGGAGGTGACCTTTCTAGCTAGGTGCTTCTCTGATGCACCATCTAAACTTTTAAAGCTCTCCAGTGGTGGGGAAGGTCTTACACAAATGGACCACTGATTGTACTAAGCTGAATGTCTTAAAACACTCACTTTTATGTTTCCACGTCGTCCAAATCTTCATTAAACACAAAGCAAAAGACGAGCTCACAATGAGTTTTACAATGCCCTGGTTATTTTGTGAACATTCTCGACCCAGTTATGTGATCTCTTCAAAGGCTTCTGTTGTTTTCATTTCTATTTTTTATTTAAACACTTCGTTTTGATGCTACATTTCCCTTCCTGATGACTATCTAATTTTGTATGCATTTTCCCTTCAAAATCTTTCAGCTACCAGCAAAGAGGTTTCCAAAAGTGCCAGAGAAAACTAAGCATACTGAAGAAATGTTCCAATACTTTAAAAAATTATATCCAGTGTTACTTGATTTCAGATACTTATTTTTTCCTTCCCTCTCTCAGCAGAGATTAAGAACAAATGGAAAAAATGACGATGTTGGTATGATTTCATTGCAGAATCTTTTCTTTACATTCTCTCAAGAAGAAAGGTTTTTTATGTATTTTAGTACAGGGACTACAGAGTCTCACTACACAGATCAGACTTGTAGTAATGCTCCTATTTTCAGCCTCCCAAGCAGTGGGATTACAGGCATGCACCACCACCCCCAGTCTATAAGAAGAAAGATTTGGATGATTATTAAGAACTGCTCAAATTTTATTTTATCATTTGTTTCTAAAATTCATGACAGAATGTTTATAATGCTCTAACAAAGCATTCTTAATATTTATGTACTTATCTGTAAAGACTAACAGGAGACTGATGTGGTCTATGCCCCGGTAGCATGCCAAGTCTTCTAGTTGGAAGTATCTTACCTCTTCCAGTAAAGTCAGTGAAATCTCTGATAAGATTCTCCCAAGTCTGTGCAGCCAGTGACCTCATTTACTTTAAACATGTTCCCTGGAAGAACTAACCAATTAGCTTGATAGAAATCATTATCAAATATAAATGGATTCATTTATCAGCTGTGTAAGTTACAGAAAAACCCCAGGCCAATGAGAAATTGAAAAAGGCAAATTGGAATAAAGACCACCGTAATAAAGGAACTGCCAGGGAAGTGCTTCAAGTAGCCTGTAACAGCAGCAGAGGTGCTGGTAGTTTGAGGAGTGTGGGACAAGTGTGAATATGTGTTAATTCTACTTTCTCTGTGTTGCTTACACTATAAAAGAGTCTTTACGTGGCTCCAACCGTTGTTCAGTATTTATGCCTAATACATTTTGTATGTAGAAGACAGATTGAGTTCAGGAGTTCTGATAGGACAACAGCTAGACTCTGTGCTCGCTGACATCAGCTGTGGTCTTGATGGCTCCTTTTGTAGGAAACAGTACAGAGAATGTAGTATTTCTCTTTTTTGCTTTAATTATTTAAGCTTTAATTATTTTGGCTTTAGTTTTGCAAGGAACATAAGGGGCCCTGAAAACACAGGATGGGCCTTCTGGAATTATGGGCCCAAATCCGGAAATCACTTCATCAAGAGGTAGCCAGGTACAAATATGGGGAGATCAACACACTGGCTCTGATATGAACTTACATAAAGTGGATTTTTTTGTAGTTGTTTTCTTTGAACTTTTTTATTATTATTTGTCCATGAATACAGGTTTCTTCAAAGGCCAGTCCCCTGGAAGAGAAATTCCCAGAAGCCAAAAAGCAATCTAAACAAACACTTTGTACTTATGTGACATAAGCATACTATCTCACTGTTTTCTGCACAGCATGTGGTTATCAATACAAGTTGATGTGCCCACTTCTGCAAATGTTCTGAATAAAAACATTTATAAATGAAAGAATTTCCTTTTCTTTTGTTATTTCCCACCACTTTTATTGAGAGGTAAAAACTGTATACATTTAAGGTATATATTGTGCTAATCCACCATATTTATACTTTATTGAAATGATCACCACAAATTAGTTTACATATTCACCGCTTCTCGTAGTTACTATTACATGTGTGTCTGTGGGCATGGTAAGGACATCTATGATCTGGTAGGCTAGCATAGATCAGTACACAGTATAGCGTTATTAATTATAATCCTTACGTTACTCATTAGATCCCCCACATCATGTTACAATTTAAAGTTTGTACCTATTGGCCAAAATTTCTCCATTGCCCCCATCCTAGACCTTGCTAACCACACTCTGTTCTCTACTGCTTTGAGTTCAAATATTTTATATACTACAAGTGAGATTATATAGTACTTATTTTTCTGTGTCTAACTTATTTCAATCTGTATAATACATTCAAAATACATTCATATTGTCTCAACAGGATTTTCTCCTTTTTATGGTTGAATGATATTCCATTGTGTGTACATTTTCTTTCTTTCTTCCTGTGGCCCAGCTATCTTATTTCTGAGTTTATATTATAAGGAAATAAAATCAGTATTTTTAAAGACCTATCAACCTCCCATGCTCACTACAGCATTATTCACAATAACCAAGATATGGAATCAACCTAAGGATAATATATTCTTAGTGCTTCATGTGAGACACTGACATTTTGCAGAGACAGGATGATGACAGTAATTATCCTTCTCCCTGACACAGAGAGGTTAAGGTTAGCAACTAAATTATTCAGTCATTTCTCCCGGACTACCATAAAAGAAATTTGGCACTTTCGGGATGTAAAAATACCTATCTTTTCTTCTACACAGTCTGCCCTGTGAGGCTAAGGTATGCGGTGCTTTCCTCATCTTGGCAGCTCTTAGTGGTTGCCATGCACAGGAGACACTCAGGAAATAATTTCACCTGTCTGTCTGTTTTGCACTGTCCTAAGGGGTTTCTGAAGAGGCTGTTGTTCCAAGCCCATTCCCAGGGATGTTGATGCAGACAGAAAAGACTAATTGTATCTCTGAGAATTGGGCTGAGTGACGTGTACACATTTTCTAGCTGTCACTCCTTCACTCTCTTCAGTACTATGGAAAAAAGTTGATGAACAAAAAGCAGAAAAGTATAAAAATGAGGTACAAAAGTAAAGCCATATTAATATGCTGAGATATAAAAGGCTCAAGGCAACAACTTCTGACATTGCCAGTCTTATGGAAAACCCACTACTATTATGGACTACTGGACTATATTGGATTATTTTGCTGATTTCACGCATCTACAATATTTAAATGGCAATAGAATACCCATCTCTGACAAAATTAAACAAAAAAAGGGATACAAATGAAGGACCATTTTGTGTATTTATATACAAAATAGTTAGGATAGATATATGGCTACTTTCTCTTAATTCAATGAAAAGAAAGATTTGTACTAATAGTGTTTGGACAGGATATCATGTCTGCATCTTGTACTATGAGTAACTACTACGAAGACAACAATATGAAATGTATTATTATTGAAACTGTCCTACTAATCGGTTTTGAAACTGTCTCATTGCTATTCATTTCTCATTAAATTAATTTAAAAGATCCAGTAATTTTTAGATGGTCTAACAAATGTACATTTTGCATTATTTACAGGTGAGTTCCAAGTTTGTGGACGCCAGTAATATGCTGTTATCGTCTGAATACTGCCTCATCAGACCTAGAATTGTCTCACCAGTCATGACTTACACTACCATGATTCAGAGGCAGATAAATGCACATGACACATTCCTTCAGCTGTTAGGCCCTCTATAAAACAGTGGAGCTGCTCTTCTATGCTGACTGAAATGACTAGTTTGCACCCTGATGCAAGTGATCAGATTACCTTTCTCATCATCTTTGCTTGCCAAACTCGGGAAATTATTAACGGATACAAAATGATCCAGACCTTTTAAAAATTCAGTCACCGTTCTTGTCCTGTGACCTCTCTCTGCAGAGAATTCCATACACCCAGTTAATGAAGTATTGCCTATTATTAAATCTAAATTTACTGCTCACTAATTTCATTGAGTGTCTCTCTGCTCGCTGATGAGGAAAAGGGAAAACCGCATTTGTTTCCACTGCGCCTTTCATTCTTTGGAATCTTTTATATGCTTTCCTTCTTGTTCTAATTTTCATGCTTAAAAATTCGTTGGTTTGCATTTTGAAGAAGAAAAATTATTGTGTTTTTTAAAAGCAGAAATAAATAACAAAAGCTCTCTCACATATTTATTTCTAGGGAAAAAAACACCAGAAAATAACAATTATGTGTTAATTCAGATGTATTCCCGAGACGCTTATTCTGCTATTGTGGCAGATCAGCATGTCTATTTGCTCATTTTTGTTTCTGTCTTGGAGAACATCTCTGCTGTCTTCTGGAAGGTTGTCAAATATCATTAGTCATCTTTCAGTGATGTTTGATTGTTCATTCCATGTCTTTTTATTTCCCTAGTAAAATTCTGGATGCCTATAAAATGACTCTGGTGCTTCATTTTTCCTCCTTCTAATAGGTAGAAAAATATATAGCTTTGTGCAGTAAGAGATAGTCCAAGGATACTTGGATTTAAATTCAATTGAATTTTTAACTATAGCATCTAAGTCTCCATCATGCTGACAGCAATAAAATAAAGATATTCTGTTACCTTCCCAGGATATGAGGAGGCAAATATTATAGGCCATTCTGCATGGAATATTATTGTCTGGCATTTGAAAATACTTTTTAATATGAGAACCTCTGTTATCTTTTACTCATAGTTAATTCTCTGTGAAACACTGAGGATCTGGAACCAAGGGGCAGCTAAATCATAGCTCTCTCTTTAGAAAGAAGGAGGAGAAAGATTTAAAAGATGAAGTTGTATTCCCATCTAAATACTAAGACATCCATTATTTATGAGTATTTATCTAGAGGAGCTTAAATCTGGTTCTCAAAGTCATATTTTTACTCCCAATTCAATGTAAGTCTATTTATAACAATCAGGATGTGGGATCAACTGAAATGTTCACTAACAATTTAGAGAGAGAGAGAGAGAGAGAGAGAGAGAGAGAGAGAGAGAGAGATTATATACTTTGCTGAGCCAAGGACCTAATGGTTGTCTCATCAGAGCCTTCAAGCACACTCGTTTGCATATATAATACAATATTTTCAGCCTTCAAATCAAATGGAATTATGCAACATGTGATAACATGCATGAACCTTGAGGACATTATAGTATATGAATTAAGCCAGTCACAGAGAGTTGGCAGCAAGACTAAGGTATCTAAAGTAGTCAAATTTATAGATTTAAATCATGTAATGTTAGTTACAAGATGGTGGCAGGGAGAGAAAATGCATGTTATTTATCAATGAGCATTATGAAATATGTAAATTCCACAGATTTTCTATACATTGTACCTGTAGTCAGTAATACATTGTACCTATAGTCAGTAATGCTATATTGCACCCCTAAAATTTTGTTCAGAACCTGTATCTCATATGTAGTGTTTTTTCTTCCACAATTGAGAAAAGACAGAACTACAGTGTTAAGTGGCAATGCCAGCACCCACAAGAACCTATGCATTGTGATCCATCTGTAACCCTCAGTAAGAGCACTGAAGGGAGGATGCATGTCTCAGTGGAGAGCAGATCCGCAAACAAAGGTGGGCTCTGGGATTTGGTTCCAGCTCAGTCTACCAAGAAGTCACTGGCAGTGTCAAGTTTTCAGGTGCCCTAAGACTTCACTGCAAATGGCCTTTCAGTCTTCATTTCCCCTGCAATCCAATGTTATATCAAACCTGTTCCTTCCTGAGATTCCTAGAAATGTTTCTGTGAATTTAATAAAGTCCTGACTGGTTATTTTTTTGGCTCTAAATTCAAGGTGGTGTTCCAACAATGACATGAAATGTTTGCCCCTTGTTGTACAATTAAATGATAAGCAGTAGAGAAAATGACGAGGGAACTGAAACAATTGTGGCTCATGTTATATAAAATATTTTAATAATCTTATCTATTGCATCTTGGAAGATAGACTGTATGTATTCTCAGCCATAAAGGAAGAGACTGGAAAACAGAATTATGGTAATAAATACTTGCAACTACTTGTCAGATTGAGATGATACTGGAAGAAAGGGCAGGGGGAAATTATCTAGGTTGCAAGCAAACATGAAAACATAAAAAAGCATTTAGGCATTTAGGGGCTTGGAAATTTGGAAAACCTATTACTTGTGGGAGATTAAATAAAAAAAAACTTTAAATGACAAAGATTAGACAAAATACATCAGCTGAGGCAAGTGACTGAGGGAGAAGATCAGATTGACAGAATGTTGTTGACCCCTTAATTGTTTCATATACCCTTGAGGTAATCACCATACATGGAGAATAGAGTTTAGAAGATAACTTTGTTGATGGTTACTACTACGTGGATTTGTCTGCAAGTGAATGATTTAGATACTAAGTTATTGAGAGAATTATATCAACAAAGAATAGGTGAGTTTATACTAATAAGGCCTTTGTTTAATATTTAAAATGACCACTGGGGGAAAAAATAAGTGACCACTGGGCCTATAGCCTTCTGTGGTCAGAAGACATCAGAGGCTATGAGTAGATCTTCAGTAGAGCATATTTTACATTCCCAAATTCAGATGTTGTAAGGAAAATAGCAAATCAGGAAGAGCTTCTGAGAATATGAATGAGCCCAGTGCCACTAGGAATGAAGAATCAAGGCCTGAATTGGTCAGGTCTTGCCATTGCTGGTACAGCATATACATTACTCACAACATAATGGACAAAAGGCTTAATCTGGCTATTGGTTTCTGAGAATTCAGTCCATGGTCAGCCGGCTTCAAGTCAGTACATCATGGTGGAGGAGCTCGGTAGAACATGGTGCTGTCCTAGCTACTTTCTCACTGCTTGAGGAAAATACCAACACCATGTTAAACAAGGAAATTTTCTTTTTTTTTTCTTCATTAAGTTTACTGTTATAATTTAGATATACATAATGATCACTTTCATCATAAGGAAATTGTGCCTATACATGGTATGTCTTAGTTCCTCTTTTTTCCCCCCATTCCCTTCCCCTCCCCCTCAACCTCTCTTTCCCTTCTTATTTCCAGAGATTTGATTAAATTTAATTCTTTTTATTTCATTTTTTTTTCTTTTTGCTTCTTTCTTCCTCTCCCACTTTCCTTTCCTTTTAAAAAATTTCTTCCTGTTTTGCAAATCTATTATATATTTTAGTTCTTATTTATACTTTCAGTTTCTCACACTAGAGAAATGATGAAATATTTACACATCTGAGTTTGACTTACTTCACTTAAGAATATGTTCTCAAGATGCATGCATTTACCTAGAAATGACTCGTTTTTATCATTCTTTATGGCTGAGTAGTACCACATTGTATAAGAAAAACCTTCTTTATCTGTTCCTCAGTTGATGTACATTTCAGTTGTTTCCAAGATTTCGCTATACAAACAGTGCTGTTATAAACATGAATATGCGTATATCACTGTACTGTGAAGGTTTTAATTTGGCTTATGATTTGTAGCGGTTTCAGTCACCCTGTACCACACACTCATAATCCCAGTATCACACCCTAGAATCACCCTCCTGTGAAAACCCCCAAATGTTAGGGCCTAAGACTTTGGGGGAACACCTAGACACAAGCTGTAATATGTGCTGACTTCGTGTAGCCAGTGAGCCAAAAAGGGAGGATCCAGGTATTGTATGTAGACTGCAAGGTCAGGCTTCCATGAGCCACTCAGGTACACACAAATTATGCTTTACTACTTACCTATTCAGCTCCTGAGCCAATGAGCTCACAATTAAACTTGAGTGTCATAGAGCCTTTGTAAGAAAGCCATCTGTTCTCTGGTTGGGTGGGGTAGAGATTTCATAAATTCTGCCAGAGGTATATAAAATTTCTATGAAGCAGTGATGCTTTGTGTCTATATTCTTGATTATCCTATCATTGATCCAGTGTTTTATTTTGAGAGAACAGGGAGCCAAAATCTCTCACTTTAATCCAAACAATCACCAAGTAGGTCGAGTGGTTTATAGATCACAGGGTGTCTCTTGCACATATGATGGGATCCTTATTGCCCCAGCTGAATTACAATTATGAGGTCTTTACAGTTTTTGGAATTAACATTTTCATTTTTTCTGCTATGGTTGTAAAATAAAATATTGGAGTAAAAATCATCAGAAAATTTAAATATGCTTGTTCCAAATGCCATAGAGATGGTATAATCTGTTAAAAACAAGTTGTTCCTTAGTGAAAAAGGCTATATACATCTGCACTAGATTATAGACATATTAAAAAATTCAACCCATGAAAATTAGTGAAAGGATGCCACTATATGAGACCATTTTCCTGAAAAACGCCTACCTTTAAAATAAGTCGTATTATTTTTGTTTGGCACAATGTACAATCACCTATTTTCTGCAAAATATTTTATAGCTTTCTGGAGGACATTGTTTAAAAACCTGTCCAAGCAGTGTTATGCATAGAAACTCAAACTGCATCGAGTAGTGCTGTCTAGTGGTACTCTCTGCAGTGACACAAGTGTCCCGTGTCTGTGTTTGTGTGATGAAACCCAGCAACCGCATGGCACTCCTAAACAAATGAAATGTGACTAAGACAACAGAAATCAATTTATTTATTGTATATTTAATTTTTATTGCATATTATATATATTTTATTGTATATTTAATTTTAATTTTAAGTAAGTGTCGTGCAATAAGTTGCCACTGAAGTAGACAACATATACGTAGCACTCATCTGCCCATTAGAACCAGGATTCTATTGCCAGACATAAGAAAATTGAGATACAATATATTTAATAACTTACTGAAGTTGCTGTCTTTGTGTGTTCACATTATACAATGGCAAATTTAACTGCCATTGCACAAATGTTGGTAATGATTAAGAAAAGTGTAAGATCTTTTGATAAAAGAACGGTAGAAATACATTGATACATCACATAAACACAGTTTAAAGAATAAAAAAATTATTAGCTATTACTTTTGTGTAATAAACCCATTTGTGATTTTATTTTCTTCTAAAAAGAATCTAAGTAGTTCCTCTCTTATAAGGAAGAGAGTTTTAAAAATTGTAGAGCTCTGACTACTAAGGAGCTGCTGATCATATTTATGCCCATCTTTGGTTTCTTTTACCCCATGGAAATGATTTGGAATAACATTATGTTAGAACCAACAAGTGAGTGTGGTCAGTGGTTGCTGCTACCACTTCATCTTTTACAGGCACCCAAGACTTTGTAAGAGCCAACTTTGTAAGAGATGAACTAGCTGCCCAGTTCTAATTCCAAGTTCCCTGATGCTTTTTTATAAGCTATGAAAAGAAGCAAGAGTACACATATTCGTAAGGCATACAGAAAATTACAAGTAGGAAATGGGCAGGGGTACAATCAATACTACTTCTACTTTGGACCTAATATTTTCCTTCAAATGATTTTTCTTCCCTGTGAGCCAGAGTCCAGCAGATGGAAAACCAGGAAAAACTATTTCTTTTCTCTGCAATTCTTTTCCCTCCTGCCTGAAAAATCTCTATCTGTTGTTTAGCTAATGGGGAAAGCAAATTTTCAGTGTGCTGTGAGGGGCCTTTCTGTATTCAGTGTGCCTCTCCTGCTCTTCCACTTATTCTGATTATGCCAGAGTGTCTGCCTCTTTTCCTTCCCTCTAGGAGCCTTCTTTGTCTGTGCCCAAGGATAGCCTCTTCCCATGCTCTGAAAGACCCTTAGAATGAATGTTTCAGTAAAATATGAAAAAACTGAAAATATTCAGTAAAATTTCTGTAGAAATTGGATATTCAATTAAGACACATGCACTTTTACCTGGGGAAAAATAAAACAACAAATCAGGAGTCAAATTTTAGTTTAGAATTTTAAGAGGACATCTCAAAAGAAGGTAAAATAAGAATCAAATATTGTAGAGTAGCCTTGAACCATAAATTTAAAGCATGAAGTTTACTTGTTTCTGACCTCTTCCTCTCACACATGATGATGCTGAGGACCAGAATGATCGGTACACCAGGCTGAGTATAGGAAAACATTGTTTGTAAAATCAGATTTATGAAACAGGAGCCATACTACTTATTTTCAATCTTTTAATGTAAATTAAAGATTGTTCTTTTTGAGTCTTTATCATTGCATGTCTACTTAGACTAACATGAAATTGCTGGGACAATTGGTGGTCAAGGAATCCATAATACTGCCAACTGCTTGGAAATACTGTGAATGAGAATATTTACGCCTTTGTGTTGTGATGTTTTCTGATATATTTCCATCACCTTTTGCTGTATTTTTGTGGAATATGCCTTATTTTGTCCTTTTATTTGAATTCTGTTTTTATATTAAACTCTAAGAATATAATTAAAAAACACAAATCCAAATTCTGAAACTAATTTTTTTTAAATTTATAAATGGAAGCCTTAACTTACCCATTTAAACTTATCACTTGATTGCAGGAAGCCCTTTCACATTTTGTTCCAGCATATTCAAAGCAACACGATACGATAGTGGAACATTTCCTAGTTTGTATTTCTGTTTTGAAGAATTTCCAGAATTGGACAAATGGAGTATTGTGTATTGTTAAGCCTCAAAAAGTTTTGTTTTCATGTAGTAGAACTTTCTAGAGCAAGGAATGGAAAAGATGTAAGCATAATATTATCAAGTTTAAATTAAAAAAAGACCTGAATGGCTATATCTTCAAGAGGTTCCCAGAAGATGGGTTTATAGAAATCATCTAACTGTTGAATAGTAGAGCTAAAATCTAGATGGTTGATCT